AACAATTTCTGTACCCAAAACAGACACTTACCAAGGTATGACTTGTAATATGTAGGTTATATACAAAAATCCATTTGAAAAATAACCTGAACCCTTCCAAAAGCAAAGATACTTTTCAGATCTTCACTCTAGTATTCTTAAATGAAAAGTTTAGGCTTCTACGAGACTTGTACTTTGACAAAAATAATTGTATTACGAATGGCCTTCAACAAGTCTTTTGTCAAACCTGGGCCAAGCAAAATATAAATTTTTTTTTTAAAGTGTGTCAACATAAACTAGAGGATTAACAGCAATCCTCAACCGCATCAAGGCACAGTATATAGAAAATACTATAAATGCGTAGATTGCAGGTTTAATTATGGCTTACAGCACATTCAACAAATGCAGGAAAAACTTACTTATGGTTGGCTGTCGCAAGAAAAAATAATAATAATGCTAGGTTGTTTTACATTGTATAATAGTATTCCAATGGACTAATGTTTTAAAAAGGAAAGAGACAGATTCAATAAGCCCATAGCTAAGGATAGAACCAGAAAGAGGATGCTGATGATTTTGTATCAATATCCTATCGAGAGCGAGGCTTATTTTATCCAAAGTAGACTTCAGTTTAACATTTGGTTTGTATTTAGTCAAGAAGAACTGTCTTTAATAGAAACTAAGAAAAAAGATTAGTTTAGTTTCTATGGCGATACTCTTTGAGTGCCACACTAAATAATTAAAAAATGTTCCTCATGGGATTAGTTCCAAAAAGAGAGCCCTAATTTGTTTAACCATAGATTTTTATGTCGCTTACATGACCCTCTAGGTTCCTCGGTTACTGGGCATTGTTAAGGCCATTCTGGGATGATTAGATTCTGTATCAATTCTTGAAAGGATGGAGAAAGAGTACTGGAGATTTACCCCAACCATATCCTTCTTGTGAATATTGAAAAGGAATTTGCAGGCCATTTCTCATTTTCCTCATGAATATTTTCCTTCTTCCTTTGAGGATTTCAGGTTTGCTTCTGAAGTATTACATGACAGTTTCCAAGTAGGTGAAAACAATCATACATGCTAACAGATTTTTATTCTTTGAATATTCTTTAAATTGTTTTAATTTGACATTTGAAAACTAGAACTCCCAATAACAGAACACAGACAAAAAATTCAAAACGCAATGTCTTTTTCTTCAGAAATGATTAAATATAACGGGGAAACATAAGGGAAGATGAGATGGAAATCCCTAGCCCCCTTAGCAGGAGATTCCATGGAATAGGCTGTAATTGGTAAGTTGCAAAAGCATGAAAACACCATGAGATCAAGATTTGTAAAACCTGTACATAATGTTGTTATATATCTGAAGTGATTCTGGAATGAAGCCTCCATTATTGCAAAATAACAGGAGTATTGTCTATTTTAAATCTAGGAAAACTTTACAGAGAGGCTCACAGGCCAGTTTGGGATAAAAAAAAAATCAGCCACCAACCCTGAAAGGTTAAACTATAAACAAAATCTCAGTACAAACATATGTGCATGTATATTTAACAGGTTTATCCGGTTCAAGGATACAGTAAAAACCACCAACTGGACATTGGGACTGTAAAGGTTAATCTCTACCTCCAACTGAAGGATTAACTCTGTAAAGCTCAAACCAATATGGACGACAAATGGTTAACATTGGGTGGGGCTGGTGCAGTTTACATAGGAGTACTGTATTTGATGGGACAGGAATGAAACAGTTAATTGTGTACTTGAAAAAGGATGAAAAAACTATCTGGGGTTGCTGTATCTCTGGTGCATTGAAAACCTACCTGCATTTCAGTTCTGGACTGTCCTTATGGGTGGGATAACTCTAATATGAAAATTATTACATTCTCTCTGCAATGGCTCAAGTGAACAAAACTTTTTTTTAAGACTTGAGCGCTGAGATTCTCTTAGCTTTTTGTTTTGTCTTTGTGTATTTGTATCATCTCAGTGTATTTATTGTCTGTGTGTTTATGTGTGTGAGTATGTGTATGTGTGCGAGTATGTGTATGTGTGCATCTGTGTGTCAGTGTTTGTGTATGTATCTGTGTGTATGTGTCAGTCTGTGCATATATGTGTGGATGAGAGGTGAACTGTATGTGCATACATCCCAGCAACCAAATGTCAACTTGACATACAAACACAAACACTAAACTCAAGAACACCACTGCTTTCATTTAGCAATAGTACGTACAAACATGCAACTTGATTCAAATGCCAACACTACACACAAATCCATATATACATTCAAACACACAAAAGATGCTTACATTGAAACACAAACATTGCTTACAAATACAACTCTGCAACGATGGGCACAAGGAAGATCCCCAGCTGGAAAAGCATTGTGGGAGTTGTACGATAGATGGGGATTTACCTTTGGCCATGCACGCGCTAGACGGGGCCCAAAAAAACTTTCTTGCACCAGGGCCCTCTTGACATAAGTTCCGTCACTGTAGTCTCCCACCAGTATTAGTATTTATTATACTGTTTTACATGCTTTGTCATTTCCTCTAACAGGGCTTGACAAATTTGTTTGGAATCTAGGAGCTGCTAAAAAAAATAAAATAAGGAGCCAGTTTTTTTTTTTTTTTAAACTAGCAAAGTTTAATTTACGAGAAATATACAATTCTTAAAGGGACACTGTAGTCATCAGAACCACTACAGCTTAATGTAGTTGTTCTGGTGCCTATAGCCTGTCCCTGTAGCCTTTTCAATGTAAACGCTGCCTTTTCAGAGAAAAGGCAGCGTTTACATTGCTGCCTAGTAACACCTCTAGTGACAGTTACTCAGACGGCCACTAGAGAGTCCTGGGTCAGTGCTGCACAGTGTGGTCGTAAAGATTGATTATTGCAGCCATGAAGGCAGGACAAGCCACAGAAAACTGTCACGGAGTGGGAAAGAAGGTGAGTAAAAACACCTCTCTTGTGATCGGAGGGGTGCAGGTACCTAAACAGATACACTCTCTGACAGAGACACACACACTGCAATTTTTATTTTAATCCACCCAGCCTCCGTACCTTTGGGAGTGCTGAGTGGGTGTTTCCCTGTACTTCAGTGGGGCTGCTCGGTCATCCTGTGTGCAATGAAGCAGTAATCTACCTGTGGCTCCTCTCTGCTCCCTCGCACTCTCTGTAGTGATGCAGGGGAAATCATATTCTGGTTCCCGGCATCACTATACGCAAAGATTACTGCTCCTTTGTGTGCTGCCCTAGCCTGCTGCCTCCATGCAGCCCAGGGCGACCGGACGGCTCCATTGTTCCCCCAAGCTGCATTTAGCTAAAGGACTTCAAATCCCAGGCACCAGGGCAAAATTTTGAGTCGCCACGGCGACCTGGCACCTGTATAAATATACCGCCTGTTGTTCAATAAACCTCCATTATCATATCCATGTACTTAGTGCTATCTAATGTTTGGGTACAAGGCCCATTGATCACATTGTCCAGTATCTGGTTGATGGTTGGGCAATATCATTGAAGAACATGATGCTGGTCGGCAAGTAGCTATAAGATAACAGGTTCTGGTCTGGATCCAAAGTGAGGGACCAGGCACCCTGTTCCTATTAACAATCTCACTTCAACTGGTATCTGCTTCACTTCTTTTAATATATCCCCCTTCTGCATATTCTGATTACATTGCACCTCTGAGTTAATGTATCTGTGGCACTTACTTGTCGATTGTTTAGCATTACGTGCAATTACTAAGGCAGAGATTGCATGGAATATTGTGTTTCCTTCCTCCATTTACCCTGGATTTTTAACTCCTTTTCTCAATCTGTCTCCTCAGTTTTAATATTATGTTTAACATGTAAACAATTATATCTGGGATGGAGAAGTAGCTTGTGAACTGAACATTTAAAGCCGAGTTTATATATTATATACTTCCACCAGACTTTAGGCATTTCAGTCTTATTAATCTTGGCAAATCAGTCTTGGCAAATGCATTGCAACGCTAAATACCTAATAAATCATTATTTTCTGAAAATGCGAAAATAACATTCATTTGATTATGAAATAAATGACTGACTCACTGCCAGTGTGACTATTTATTAGATATTTTGATTTATTAGAGTTATAGACATAGGAAATTGGATCTAGCATCTTTCTAAAAATGAAACCATTGACTAAATCATTGACAATCCTGTCACATACGTTGAGTGATAGAAAAGGGCAGAGCTTGTTATAATGTCGGATAGGGAGTAAAGATGGAGGCATTCAATTCCACGTTAGGGCAATGTAGATGTCTATGTTTCATTTAATTTTTAGAATTCATAAACACATACTTGTTAAACATAAAGGATATGTATGCATGATATTAAAAATCATAGAAAGTGACTTTTAAAACTCAGTAGAATTCAGTCTTTAAATTGGTTTGGTATCTTGAGAGTGCTTTCAAAGCATTTATTTTGACTTCTTGTTTGTCCTAAAATTGCTCCAAGATGAATCAGAATGTGAAAAGCCTTAGATGAGTCTTGATTTTTTTTATTGTCTTGGTTTTATTGTAGACCACACTCAACCTGCAATATAAATCAGTTTTTTTTTTTTTAAGATTTAGGTTATTTTTTTAAAGATCTAACAGAATGTTCTTTACTTTGAACGAGGCACATAAATATTAACTCCTTTCATTTTATCGCCTTGACTATTTCCATTTAGTGTACAGTATTGAACCAACTCATCACATATCATTTTCCTTTCTCTAACTTTACATCGGTTTTGAAGACAAATTGCAAAGGATGCTCTTGTAAACAAAGCATTTTCATCTTTATTTCAACAATTTCCTGGACACATTTTTAGACATAATGGGACCTAACATATGTCTCACTTTTCAAATATTTTATACACGATTGCTACAAAAAGTGTGTAATATTGGTGGCATGTTTGGCTGCCGAGGAAGATGGGCGCATAACTTCACAGCTCCTCGTGGCGCCCGCTAAAAATCGCTTGAAAAAGCTCACCCACAGACAAGCCAGCAAAAGATGGGTCACACCATCAAGGTCAATGGTGGAACAGTCCATCCGCACATACCTTATCACACCGCGAGACCTCAAGTCCCAACCTGAAATGGAGGCTCTGGACCTGTCCCAGGGTTTACCCTCGACAACACCAGTGAGGAGGTCACAAGCCCCCACCGACACCTCCGTGGCACAGCTGACGCTGGACGGTGAGCCCTGGGCTATACTCCCGAACCTCCTCACAAAAGCGGATTTTGAGGCCCTATCAGACCACCTGAGCTGGGTGGCCCAAGATGAAATAGCACAGGTCAGAGCAGACATGGCCAACATGGAAGCCAGGGTGACCATTGCAGTGGCCGAGTCCAGGGCCCTTCGCACCAACATGGACGCAACCCACACAGCGGTCATCGGCTGCGAAATGAGCATAGCCCACCTGACCACATGGGTAGACGACCTCGATAACAGAGGCTGAAGAATGAACCTACGAGTCAGAGGGGTGAAGAAAGGCTGCCCAGCGGAAAACCTACCTGAACTTCTGTGCAATGACTTCAGCCACGTGTTGGGTGGCCAGCAGCTCCCAAACTGGGCCTCATTAGAGTACACCACGCACTGTGCCCACCACCAGCACCTGGTGAACAACACAGGGATACAGTCTGCTGCTTCGAAAACTTAATCTTGAAGGAAGACATCCTCAGAACATCCTCTGCCTGGATGGCCAGAACATCGCGATTTTCCAAGACCTCTCCCGCTACACATTGCAGGCAAAATGGGCCCTCCGTCGGGTGACGACAGCGCTCCAGGCAGCAGGGATCCCCCTACCGCTGGGGGTACCCCTTTTCCCTGACACACTCACTATCAGGGCCCCAGGTGATGTAATGAGAATAGGCACCTGCCTACAGCTGTCTGTCCAGTAGGGGGCATCTGTTTTCCGAATATATAATGTGCCCTTTTGAGCTTAAATAGGCTGGTGGGGAGAGAAATTCACCAGGAATCTTGACCAGTGTCCACTGTAGTCCTGTCAGCCTTAATAGAAGACCTGCAGGAACAGTTATAGAGGGTGTAAAACTCAGTGCTGTCCCAACCACTCCAGTGTCTGTGTGTAAGGCTGGACAGGAAGTAAAAGGGATCATTTCCCATCTGATCACCAGTAACCTGGTCACCGGTAAAAAACAATATACGTAAATGATAAAGCCACTCTTTTCCCCCTCATAGGCTTTCCCCATCTGCCCCAGGGTATCCAACACCTGGAATTATGTCTAGGCCATAACCATCTCTAACTATTCATAATTCCCCGCCCCCATACGGTTGTACCTGTAGGAGTTAAAAAGGGTTCACAACCGAGGGAAACGTTCCTTAGGACTGATCTCATGAACATGCTGGAAAGCATTTTGGATGGTAAATACTTTGTTTATGTTTTTTATATTATTTCACTGTTACATGTTATACTGTTTTGGTGTGTGCTAAAGATGTAATAATATATGGCGTACAAGACAAAAGTAAGAAGGGTGACCACCCACGAGAGAATACACATGAGAGAGAGCGCAGAATAGTACATTTATCCTGATTAAGATGACACAACAAAGTCAACAGCCTTAATACACCACATTAAAGGCGTCTGACATTCCAACAACTCCAAACTGCAAAGGCAGCAGTAACCTGCCTACAGGAGACACACTTCTGTGCCCACAAACCACCTAACTTTGCCTTGACTAGATACCCCCAGACAGGGGCGTTTTAGCCGCGAGGCAAACAAGGCATTTGCCTTGGGCGGCATTTTTCAGGGGGCGGCAAAAAAAGCCGCCCCCCAAATGCCCAAGGCAAATGTCTTGTTAGCCTCTCGGCTAAAAGACATGCTGGGGCGCTGGGCGGCATTGGCGGGCGGGCGGGCAGCTGGCGAGGGAGCTCTTCCTGTGAGCTGTCTGCTCAGCTCCCTCGAGCGCCGCCCGCAGAGTGAGGCTGGGAGCCGGAAGATGATGTCATATTCCGGCTCCCAGCCTCACTCTGCGGCGCGCGAGGGAGCTGAGCAGACAGCTCACAGGAAGAGCTCCCTCGTCAGCCGCCCGCCCAGCAGCCACTGGACCACCAGGGAGATAGAGAACCCCTTCCCTCCCCAGCACTCCCAAAGGTAAGGAGGCTGGGGGGGGGGTTAAAAAGTACATGTGTTAATGTGAGTGTGTGTGTGTCTGTTAGTGAGTGTGAGTGTGTCTATTAGTGACTGTGTGTGTGTCTGTTAGTGTGTATGTGTCTGTTAGTGAGTGTGAGTGTCTGTTAGTGTGTGTGTGTCTGTTAGTGTGTGTGTGTGTGTCTTAGTGTGGGTGTCTGTTAGTGTGTGTGTGTGTTAGAGTGTGTGTCTGTTAGGGAGTGTGAGTGTGTGTGTGTGTCTGTTAGTGAGTGTGTGTCTGTTAGTGAGTGTGTGTCTGTTAGTGTGTGTGTGTGTGTCTGTGAGTGTGTCTGCTAGTGAGTGTATGTGTTTGACTGTGTGTGTCAGTGAGTTTGTGTTTCTGTTAGCTAGTGTACGCGTATCTGTCAGTGAGTGTGTGTGTATTTAGAAGGCGGGGGAAGGGATGGGTGGGGGTCGCGCACGCGGGGGAGAAGGGATGGGTGGGGGTCGCGCGCGGGGCAGGGAAGGGATGGGTGGGGGTCGCGTACGGGGGGTGTTGGGGGGCGCCTGAGTTTTGTCCTGCCTAGGGCAGCACAAAACCAGGATACACCACTGCCCCCAGATCTATCACTCCTACGCCCAACAAAACGAAAGGGGTCAGCATACTGTTCCACGCGGACTGGGTTTTTGACTGTGAAAAAGAAATAAAAAAATAAGGAGGGCAGACTGCTGATACTGGTGGGTTTGCTAAGCGGAGTGAAGGTGATGTTTGCAAACCTATATGTCCCAAATGAATACCAAATTGGTTTCCTACAAAGGGCTACAGGCAAAATCAAAAAAGCAAGGGTGGGTTAGGTGTACATATGCAGGGACTTCAATTGTGTCCTTGATCCTGTCCTTGACAACTTGACAAAACTATTGCAAGACCATGGTCTACACGACACGTTGCGCTTTCTATACCCGGGGGCGAAAGACTATACCTACTACTTTAAGGTCCACACAAAGTATTGTAGAATAGATATGTGCCTGATAGACGCTGTCTTCCTAGATAGTCTAAAAGAGGTACAGTTAGCCCCTATATCAGTGTTCCTATCCTTGTAACCGTTTAGGGGAAAGGGTACCTGGCGCTTAAATGAATTGCTTCTAGAGAACAAAAGGTGGGCAGTGGAAATTAGGTCACAAATTATATATTTTTTTAATGATAACCCCTATGAATATACTTCAATCGCCAACACATGGTTGGCCCATAAAGCTTTGGTCCGTGGTCTGCTGATACGGCAAGGAGCACAAAACAAGAATAAATATAACACACAGAGACAGGCTTATGAGAAATTTGACAGAAGCAGAGACCCAACACAAACAGACTCCGACAAAGGCATTGGCGGCTGACATAGGCAAGATAAACATCTAATACAAAAAGATAAGTCCTGCGCTCACTCCCATCACTACTGGGCCGGCAGCAATGACTACAGTACACATCAGCCCCAATATATAGTAAAAACCAAAGAAAAGAAAAAGTTACCTCTGCTCTCTCCTTAATCCATATGTATATTTAGACAAATGGAGGTCATAAATAAACATAGGGATTAAGGAGAGAGCGCAGGTAACTTTTTCTTTTCTTTGGTTTTTACTATATATTGGGGCTGATGTGTACTGTAGTCATTGCTGCCGGCCCAGTAGTGATGGGAGTGAGCGCAGGACTTATCTTTTTGTATTTGTATTTACTTTGTATCACACAGCCTTGTTACAATGCTGCCGCCCATCCCATGTGTCCCCTATGAAGGGTTAATAAGTATATAGGGGTGTATATAAAAAATACCCCTCTCTGTCTCATTAGAGATATATTTGCCAGAAGCTCAAGGAAGCAGGCTGAAGGGTCAGTGTTAGGACCCCTTTAGGGGGGTCTGCCTTGACGTTGGCAGGTGGGCATTCCCTCCAATGGCCATTGGAGCAACTAAATGACCTCCATTTGTGTAAATATACATAGGGATTAAAAATAAACATCTAGCCTAGACAAACTACAGCTGCAGATTACTGAAAGACATAAGAAAATACTACTTCCAGAGGAACAAGGCAGGGAAGCTACTGGCATCCCAATTAAAAAAAGTCCTTCTCCCAGTCAAAAATTTCATATCTAGAGAAGAAAGAGGAAATTAGGGTGAGCAACCCATTAACAATAGTTGAAGTACTAGCATCCTTTTACAAGACGCTCTACAATTTCAAAGAGGATGACAAAAGACCCCAACCGACGCAACATTCCGTTGACCAGTTCTTAGACCTAATAGAGCTACCCACTCTAACTGCAAATCAAGCTGAGGGGCTGGATAGTAGGATTACGGAGGATGAGGTCAGGCAGGCACTGAAAGAAACCCCCAAACATAAAGCACCAGCACCGGATTGGTTTTCGGTCTCTTATTATATAAAATATATGAGGAAATCCTGGTTCTGCACTTAACTACACTTTTTAATAGCATTTTAGAGACCGGATGTATACACCCGGAAATGTTGGAGGCCTCGATCATAGCTCTCTAAACCAGGGAATCCCCCAAACAGTAGCTTTAATCTCCGCCTGATATCTCTGCTTAATGCAGACACCAAACTTTTTGCTAAGATCATGGCGCAAAGACTAAAGTAACTTCTCCCCACGCTGGTTTCCCCAGAACAGGCTGGGTTTGTTACCAATAGACAGGCGGGCGATAACCCCAGGAGGTTCTTGGATCTCCTAGAACTGATGGGTAGAGAGGGAGTTCCGGCACTGATATTAGCCTTAGGTTCCGAGAAGGATTTTGACTACCTACACTGGCAGTACTAGACCTCAGTACTTACAAAATATGGAATTCCATCCAAATTCAGAAGCTGCATACTATCCCTGTACTCAGCCCCTGCAACCAGAATAATGTCGACAGGCTTTCTATCTATGAAATTCCCAATCACTAACGGAATTAGACAGGGGTGCCCTCTGTCATTGTTGATTTTCATAATGGCATTGGAACCACTAGTGAAACACAGTGGCAAAAATAATAGGACTTGACACCAAAATATGCATCCAAAAAATAGCTCTTTTTGCAATGATGTTCTGTTGCTGTTGACACAGCCGCAGCAATCACTTCCACCAATAATGGACTTCCTCAAATCCTATGGTGATGTCTCCTATTATAAGAATAATGGATCAAAGACGCAAGCCTTACCGAGCCACATTTCGAAGGATGACAAAGCTGCTCTACAAGCCCAATGCCCTTTTGACTGGAAAAAGAAAACCCTTACATATTTGGGGATGCTATTGGCGGCCACTAAACAAAGACTATTGAAAGCAAATCACTGCAAGCTCATCTCCGCGCTGCAGCAGAACACGGCCGTATCATGCCTGGGCC